CGAAACTTGGCACACACGACCGCCTAGGCACGAGAGACTTGTGGGAGAAGACGGGACTCCAATCGGGTTCCCGGTTTGGAAGTTAGAGCCCTATTTCGGTCTAGGCAAACTAGTTCCTTAAGAAACTTGAATTCGAGGTGTTGACGCCCCAAAATCACCAAACGGGGTCGGATTGGCACGAAACTTGGCGCACACAACTTCCTAGGCACGAGAGACTTGTGGGAGAAGACGGGACTCAAATCGGGTTCTCGGATTAAGAGTTAGAGACGGATTTCACTCTAAGCAACCTAGTTCTTTAAGAAACTTGAATTCGAGGTGTTAAGCCCCAAAATCACCAAAAGGGGTTGGTTTAGCACGAAACTTGGCACACACGACCGCCTAGGCACGAGAGACTTGTAGGAGAAGACGGGACTCCAATGGGGTTCCCGGTTTGAGAGTTAGAGCCCTATTTCGGTCTAAGCAAACTAGTTCTTTACGAATCTTGAATTTGAGATATTGACGCCCCAAAATCACTAAACGGGGTCAGATTGGCACGAAACGTGGCACACATGACCGCCTAGGCACGAGAGACTTGTGGGAGAATACGGGACTCCAATGGGGTTCCCGATTTGGGATTTAGAGCCCTATTTGGGTCTAGGCAAACTAGTTCCTTAAGAAACTTGAATTCGAGGTGCTGACGCCCCAAGATCACCAAACGAGGTCGGATTGGCACGAAACTTGGCACACACGACTGCCTAAGCACGAGAGACCTATGGGAGATGACAGGACTCCAATGGGGTTCCCGGTTTGGAAGTTAGAACCATATTTCGGTCTAAGCAAACTAGTTCCTTAAGAAACTTGAATTCGAGGTGTTGACAACCCAAAATCACCAAATGGGGTCAGATTGGCACGAAACTTGGCACACATGACCGCCTAAGCACGAGAGACTTGTGGGAGAAGACGGGACTCCAATGGGGTTCCCGGTTTGGGAGTTAGAGCCATATTTCGGTCTAAGCAAACTAGTTCCTTAAGAAACTTGAATTCGAGGTGTTGACGCCTCAAAATCACCAAACGGGGTTGGATTGGCACAAAACTTGGCACACATGACTGCCTAGGCACGAGAGACTTGTGGGAGAAGACGGGACTCCAATGGGGTTCCCAGTTTGGGATTTAGAGCCCTATTTCGGTCTAGGCAAACTAGTTCCTTAAGAAACTTGAATTCGAGATGTTGACGCCCCAAAATCACCAAACGGGGTCGGATTGGCACGAAACTTGGCACACACGACCGCCTAGGCACGAGAGACTTGTGGGAGAAGACGGGACTCCAATCGGGTTCCCGGTTTGGGAGTTAGAGTCGGATATCACTCTAGGCAAACTAGTTTCTTAAGAAACTTGAATTCGAGGTGTTGGCCCCCCAAAATCACCAAACGACGTCGGTTTAGCACAAAACTTGGCACACATGACCACCTAGGTATGAGAGACTTGTGGGAGAAGACGGGGCTCGAATTAGGTTCCCGATTTGGGAGTTAGTGTCGGATTTCTGTCTAGCCAAAATTATTTACTTAATTATCTTTGTAATTATATAGTAGTTAATTTTTTATGTTTTTTTTGTAATTAAAATATTAACACATAATTATATTGTCATTAATTATTTTTATTTTTTATTTTCAGATATTTCCTGAGTAGCAGTTTGCTTCTTGTGGAATGCAGGCGTATGAAGATTGTGACAAACTTTTGTTTTTGTAACCCACGGAAGAATCATGATGAATACTTTTATTTTTTATTTACGTTATTTAGATTTGTGAACATTATGTATGTATTATGCAACATTATGTGGTGGGATAATGTTGATGATGTGTTGTTATGAATGAAAGAATACTTTAATTATGAATGAATTTTTATTTATATACAGGAATTTTTATATGATTATATAATTATCGATTTTTTTTATAGTTATTTTCATTTAATACAGGTAATTTTTATATTTTTAATAATTGTGTTGCAGTTTTTTTTTTGTTTTTTTTTTGTTTTTTTGTTTTTTTTGTTTTTTTGTTTTTTTTTTTTTCTGAGACGGTATCATACTGTCTCAAAAAAGGTTTTTTGCGACGGTAGCATAGCCGTCGCCAAAGATATTGGCATTATTAGTTAATTTGAAAAAAGGCCTTTACCGACGGTATCCTTCACCGTCGCAAATACTATTTTTAGCAACGGTATTTTTACCGTCGCAAATAACCATTTTAGCGACGGCATTTTTGCGGTCTCAAATAAAGCTTTTAGCGACGGTATTTTTACCGTCGCAAATAACCTTTTTAGCGACGGCACCACAGTGTCGTCTCAAAAACTTCAAATTTCTACACATTAATAGCGACAGTATTTTGCCGTCGCTAAAAGACACTTTTGCCGTCGCTTATATTTTGCGACGACGTCACACCGTCGCTAAAGGCCTTTAGCAAACCCCTTTGTTGCGACCCCCTACTACCGTCGCTAAAAGCCCGCTGCCGTCGCAAAAAAGCTTTTGAGACGGGGTTTTGGGAATTTGCGAAGGTATTTTACCATCGCAAAAAAGCAAATTTTTTGTAATGTTAGCTAATAAACCGGAATAAGAACACATATGTTTTCAAAAACAGCATATCCTTTGATCAGGCGAGCAGGGGTGCTCATTGCTTGACCTTCCCCTCTCGTACCCAAGTTTCTGAGCCGAGGCAACTTTGGTGATGACGGACACGTGGCCTTAGGCACGAATCAGGGTTTCCTAAATTTCTCAAAATAAAACATTTAGGTGGTGACTCTGTATCTGGCAAAGCAGTCCATTTTTGGCACTTCTTTATTAAAATCAGTTTTTCAAAACGATTTGCCGGATTTGGACTCTTTGGTGATTTATCAATCTTGCATTGCACTTTGCAAGATTAGATTCAGAACCGTGACATTGAGTCCAAACTGTAGTAGTGAATGAATAAAACGATTTCGCGCCTTCACGCGCGGAGCCGGGACGTTCGGGCGGTCTACACTGCTTCTCTTCCTGGCTAACTTGTTCAATTACTTCAGAAGCATCCTCCATACTGCATTCTGGCACTTCATTACTAGCAACCTCCTTCGAATGGTCTGTTTCTGCTAGTTTTTCGAATGGTTTGTTCAGCCATGAAGGCTTCAAACATTTCTTTCTCAACTATCTCCTTCCTTTGGCCTAAGCCAACTTCTCTCTCTGTCTCATTATTATTTTCCATCAAAGCCTTTTCCAATCCTGCCAAACTGGATCTTTTTTTGGCTTTCAATTTAGAATGAACTTTGGCCAATTGCTCTCTGCTTCAACTCCTTTTGTCTTGAAGAGTCAGTTTTGGATTATGATCTAACTTTGAACTTTCTTCTCCCTCTGCCTGGCACTTTGGCTAGACCAATGAAGAGCTTTCTCTACTTTCTTTCAGATCCTTCTAGTACTGAGTGTACTTTCGTTGGCTCTTCCTCCTCTGGGACCTAGAAATCACTGGAACCATATTTGGTTCCTTTGTTTTTGGATGCTTTAGTAACACTCAGTTATTTGGAGCTACTAAAAGAGGTTTAACCATCCTACCTTGGTCTCCAATAAAATTTCTTTGGCTAGACATTTCCCTAGGTTTGTTTTGCATGACAAACTAATCTGGGATGCCAGGTACCTATGAACCCACTAGCCCAGTTGTCGAACTACCTCTTTCTTCCTTTAAAGCCAATTTCGAAGCTGGCTATGAAGGCCACTACTTGGCTCTGACCCCTTGTTCTGGGCCTAATTCAGGCCTTCCATGAAGGTGGCCACTTTCTCTTTTGTGTGAGGCTGGTCTAGGGGGTCAATCTCTGGCTTTGATCCCATACCTTGAGCCTACTTCAAGTCTCCTCTCAGGATGATTGCCCTCAATTCTGTAATAGTTAGGTGGTCTGAATTCATGTAAAGGTCTATTGCCCTTGGTGTGCACTCTAGTGGCTGTTGGCTCAGTCGTAAATGGCTGCTGCCTAATACCGGTTGGATATGGCCTCTTGTTATAAGCACTGATTGGTTTAGGACACCTCTGCACATCCTTATAATATTACTTCCCATCAATCGGAAGCCCTTTCAACCACTTGTAGCTCAACCTGCACCTTGGACACATTCTTTGCATAACAACTGCCTTTAAAGAATCATCATCCAGTGCCTCTTCATCAGAGTCTTCCCTCTGGCCTGCTGCACCTTGTCCAACAACTGGTAAACTTTTAGCATCTTTTTTTACAGTAGTTTGGCTGGCAACATGCATTTGCACATTGACCTCTTTCAATTCTTTCAAGGATAAGTTCTGGAAGTCTGACACAATGACATTGGCTGCTACTTCTCCAATTTCTAGGAATGGATTAGTGTCAATCCCCATGGGCTTTTCTACTTTAGCTGTGAATTTTAAACTCCCCTTTCGAATCTGCTCTTGGATCCTGTCTCGAAAAACAATGCAGTTTTTAGTTGAGTGAGACCAAGAATTATGCCATTTACAATACACTTTTCCTTTAAGTTCCTCTGGAGACGAAATTGTGACTCTTTTTGGTAACTTCAGGAAGTTTGCCGCAAGCAAATAATCAAAAATGTCATATGCCTTCGTTAAATCCAAAGAGTCTTTCCTATCAAGGTCTTTCTTTTTAAACTGTTGGTCTATTGTTGTGTTTTTATGAATTAATGCCTCACAGATCACAAGTTCTTTTTCTATAATCTCCGCTGCATCAATCCCATAATAAGGATCTCTATAATACGTCTTGTATGTAGGGCCGGCCCTGAGATTTGTGGGGCCTAAGGCGCACTGTGAAAATGGGGCCCCTCTAATATATATATATTTTTTTAATAAAAAATTTATGCATAAAATGATAAGTATCCACAAATTTTTTATTTAAGTATACTTGAACATATAATCATTAAAATTATAAACTAAAATTTACTTTCATATATAATAAGATAGGAAGAAATTAGTACAATGACTTAAAAACATTAAAAACAGGTTTTGTTGCTTTATAGTTTAGCAATATCCAGCTTACAATTAACCCAACGATCGCTTAAATACTACTCTTCTTGCATTTTTAGCTGCAAAATCACTAATTAAGTTTGTATAATCTAATTTATCTACCAAATCATTTTCAATAGACAATATAGCTAATTCATTCAATCTTTCTTGTGACATTGTTGATCGAAGGTAGGATTTGATCAATTTTAACTTTGAAAAACTTCTTTCTCCAGAGGCAACGGTAACTGGAATAGTCAATAATATTCTATACGCAATCCAGGTATTTGGAAAACAACCATCCATCAATTTCAAATAATTCATCACCTCAATTGGCCTATTGATTTCTTTTGGCAAAATTTCTTTGAAGACTTTCAACTCAGAAAATAAATCTCTCCCATCAACATCCATAAGCCCATCATGTTTCGAAAAGTCTTCAAGATTAGCACAATAAGTCTTCAAGCACTCATCATTGGTAGAATTTAACTTCTTCAATTCAAACAAAAATCCAAAAGTTTCATCATATATTTGAAATTGTTCAAATCTACTCTTAAATGAAGAAAGAGCTTGATCTATTATATATATGAAATAATTAACTCTAAAGGATTCTTCAGCTGATTGTGCAACCTCTTCACTAACATTCTCATTAAAATGTTTCTTTCTACGAATGACACGTCTTTCACGAAATGTAGGCTCGATCTCCATTTCAATTGCAACTTTTTTAGCTTCAATCATGGCCTCCAAAAATCCAGTTTCTCTATACTTTTCAAGAAATGTAATGAGTCCTTTTAATTGATGTATAGCAGCATCAATATGCATGTCTTCAGCTTGAAATGTCTTGCTAACAGAATTAACAGCAAACAACAGATTGTGCCAAATAATCATGCCAAGCAAAAACTCAAAGTTCTCAATTTCAGATGTAACTAAGGATTCAGCTTCACACTTTGTATTGGGATCATCAGCTTCTTTTTCCAACTGAATTAAAGCATCTCTAATTTGTGGAGCTTGGTACCGTATAGCTTTAACACTTTCAATGCGACTTTCCCAACGAGTTTGTGATAATGGCTTAAGTGTGAGACCTTCCACATTGTCTTTGAAAATTTTCCACCTCTTTATAGAAGATGAAAACAACACATATATGCGTTGTACCACTCTAAGGAAATAGATAGCTTTGGAACAAGAGGTAGCCATATCACAAAGGGCAAGATTAAGACTATGACACCCACATGGCGTGTAGAATGCTCTTGGATTTATTTCAAGTACTCTTTTTTGTACACCTTTGTGTCTCCCTTTTATATTAGAGCCATCATCATATCCTTGCCCTCTTATATCACCAATATCAAGCTGGAGTGTGTGCAATGCCTCTCTAAGTACATTAAAAAGTCCCAACCCCAATGTATCATCCACTTTCAAAAATTCTAAAAAGAATTCTTCTACCTTTACCGGACTAGTTGAAACATCTACACATCTTATCACAAGAGACATTTGTTCTTCATGACTAACATCTGGAGTTCAATCAAGAATAATTGAAAAATATTTCGCTTCTTTGATTCTTGCCACAATCGTACTCTTGATCTCACTCGCTAACATCTGTATCAATTCATTTTGGATTTTGTGGCCAAGATAATGGTAATGAATTTCACTCCTTTGAATACGTTGAATGTGCTCTTGCATTACTGGATCAAATTTAGCAAGCATTTCAATTAAGCTTAAAAAGATTCCATTTCCTTCTTGATAAATCTTCTCATTGTCTCCACGAAAAGCTAAATTATTTTTAGCAAGAGTGATCACAATAGCAACTATCCTTAGTAACACTTGTCTCCAGTGTTCCCTCCCTTTGTTGATTTGTTTTTGAACACTTCTATCAATTATTTCATTCTTCTTCAATCTACTTTCCAATTCAATCCATTTGCTCATGCAAATAAAGTGCTCATTACTAGTTTTATGACTTCTAAGCCTGTTGCCCATATTCTTCCAATATTTTAATCCATTAGTAGCCAAATGAATATTGTTCCCATCTTGCTTAAACAACTTGCAACAAAAGCAAAACACTTTGTCTGAAGCATCTGAATATACTAGCCACTTCCTATCCTACTTCTCTCCATTTTGTAACTGTCGCATGTAAAATGTAGAAGAAAAATGCCTATCTTTGTCATCTAAGGGAAAATTCACACCATTACCTCTTATAGGACCTCTTTCAACTGGTAAATCCCTTAAATTTTGATCAATCTTGTCCCAATTACTAGGGTCATAAATGTTTAGAGGTCCACATTCAACATTGACATCTTCACTTTCACTAGATTCTACATTCCCCAAATCTTCATTCTCATTCTCATTCTCATTCATATGTTCACTAGGTTGTTCAATCACCAAATTATCATTCTCATTATTACTCACACAATGAGTAGGCTCTTCAATTACCAAATCTTCATCATCATTGTCATTTGAACCCAAAATATCTACTTGTTTCTTGGTACCAAAATATTTATCAAGTGCTCCCGATTGAGATTGAATTCATTGTTCTACTTTCATCCTCTTCTTTCTCTTTTCATTTCCAGAACTATACTTTCTAGGAAACATGGCTATAATCACAAACACTTCAATCCACAAATGACAAATACTTCAAATCAATCCACAAATCACAAACACTTCAATCCACAAATCACAATCCACTGATCTGATAGCAAATAAATTATAAAAAAATAATTTAATGAAACAAAATTAGGGCAAACAAATTATTCAATTAAAACTGATAAATACATAGGTAAAAAAATTAGGGCTAAATTATTTATTCCACTAAAATCTAATGGATAAAGAAGGTAATAAAAATTAGGGCAAATTTATTATTCCACTAATTGATAGAGAAAGAATATAAAAAAAAATTAGGGCAACTTTATTTAATAAAATCTGATACTGAGAGAGAGGACTTACATGAGAGAGAGTGTGTGTGAGAGATAGTGAAAGAGGGAGAGTGAGTATATGCTATGCTATGCTCTTCGTCTGCCTGCCTTCAAGTCTTTCATTTCATTTCATCACTTCATTTCGTTAAAGAGAGATTGAAAACAGAAACACTCACCACACCACACTAGCAGTGCACTGGACATGTATGTATTGTATATTGTATTTGTATGCATGGTTTGGGTTGGGCCCAAACACATTTTGGGGCCCTTTAAATACATTTTCAGTTTTGGGGCCCTTTAAAGCCTCCAAAGTTGTTTTCAGTCCCACACCAGATAAAAATTCGGTTGGGCCCAAACACATTTTCAGTTTTTGTTTTTTTTTTAATTTATATATTTTCATTTTAAAAAATATAGCCAAACACATTAATAAATAAATATGGGCTAAATTATACATGGGTCCAATAAACATTTGGGCCCTTTAAATTGATCTTAAAACCAAAAAAAAAAAATGAGTAGGCCTATAACAATTTTTTAAATTTGGGGGCCCTATTTTTGGGCCAAAATTTGGGGCCTAAGACACAAGCCTTACCTGCCTTATGGCAGGGCTGGCCCTGCTTGTATGATGCATTACTTCGATCTTGTTCTTCCTCTAACAATGCTTCATACCTAGACACCTTATAGGTTAGTTCCACTAAGTCTCTAAACTCAGTTGAGTCAAACTTCTTTCGAAGCCTAAACTCTATACCATTTTGAGTCAATCTCACAAATTCAGGAGCTGATAAAATGATCCTATATTTGTTTTGTGTTCTTTTGAATCTGGCAATAAACTGAGTGGCCTTCTCATCAAGCCTTTGACTCAACCTTGCCAAGTCTGCCATAGAAACTTCTGGCTCTGTTTGGAAGAAATGGTCATGAAATACCTCCTCCATTTGTTGCCAAGTTTGGATAGAGCCAGGTGCAAGGTTAATATACCATACAAAGGCTGCCCCAGTTAGAGAATTTGGGAACAATCTTAACTTAATATAATCATTATTGTCAAATTCGCCACATTGAGCAGCGAACCTAGCAATATGCTCAACCGTTGACTGGTTTCCATTCCCATAAAAAAGAGCAAAGTCTAGTATCCTAAATCCTTTTGGGTATTCATGTACCCTATCTACCCATTCTGGATATGGCTTCTGGTACACAGGAGTTTGAACCGCCCGAGCCATCGGTCCACACATCTCTCTAACAATATCAGCAATTTGGTCCCTAGGAACCATATTTTGTGCTTGTTGAACCACTATTGGAGGGACAAACAAAGGATTTGGTGGACAACCTTATGCCTGTGGTCCTCTTGGTCCATAAGGCGGCATATTTGAGACTGGTTGTCCCTGTGGTGCCGGCTGCTGTTGAGGGTATAGGTGACCCCTCTGAGCCTGTCCTACGAAAGGACTTGCGAAAGGTGTTGGAACAGGTTTTGTGTCTCTTCCAATTACAGGAAACCCTTCCAACCCCCCGGGTACAAATTCGAACAAAAGATTAGTGAACCCCCTCGTGCCAGGTATGGGTTCGAACATGGGATTTGGAAACATCCTTATGCCATTTTCTTATGTTAGGCCAGATCCACCAATTTACATGGCATCACTGTTAACTAATGAGGCATTTTGATTTGTCACAGGCCTCGAAAGAGGCTCATACCAAGAGTGAGGTGATGGTCTTTCATAGTTTTGGTTACTAGTTTGACCATTACTATGTCCATTACTCTGCATAGACTGTTTATCTCTAGTCAATCTTTGCTGAGAGACATTTGAAATTTCCTCTATGTGTCTTGTGTTAGTTAGTTGATGAGTATTCATTTAATCCAAAAAGAATGTTGCCCATCTGTCCATTGTGTTCATTAACTGCTGTCCTATAGCATCTACTAGGCCTCTCCATGGATTCATTGGCTGAGTAAATGGAACAGTGGATGGTCTAATTCCTTGGCCTCGTCCAATATTTTGAACATGTGGTACTTGTTCCGAAGTGCTGGTCTGTTCGACCATAGGTTCTGATAAAACAGGTACTTCCACAGGGTGTGTTATCACATTATCCTCTGGATTAGACATTTTCTCCTTGTCTCCTACGTCTAGCCATTTCAATTAGTCCCGTTAGGCGTGCTAAAAATATATGTTGGATTTTTGACTTTCGAAGGTTATTATTGTAACTGTGAGCGTGCTAGCAAAGATCAATCAGTCCTTACAGAATATTAATTACTAGTCAATTATCAGACGATTGTATTTTAGTTCTTTCAGCCTCAATGAAGAGGACTTTTACTGGTGGCTTTGTTTAGGAGAAGTAAGTAAACAATGATTAAATGAAGAACAATTGTAGCATTTCATTAAATAAAATAGAGCACTTACAAAGATCCAAATCAGTATCGTAGAGGTTTACAACAACAAACTACTTGAAACTACTATTATGAACGAAGTGCAATGCAAGAATTTGAAGTACAGAAATGTAAATAACAAGAAATGTAAAAACTGGAAGGAAAAATAAAGTAGATAAAACTGGTTTTTTGAATTTGAGTATGGGGGCTCTTTCTAGGGCACTCTCTGCTATTTATGCTTCTCAATGACAACCGTCGAAATGCATTTCTAACCGTCAAATCATCCCTTCATGATCGTTGATCATGCTGTCTTACAATTAGCTCCACTATGCCATATCTGCAGTTAGGCTTCCATCCTGATTTTGAATTTAAATATGAATAACCGTTGAAGCCACGTCATTTTGCATCTCTTTGCTAATCTAGTGCGATGCAGATCCACAATAACCAATACTAACTGCCACGTGTGTGATTATGATTGAATATTTGAATTGTCTTCTCGTATTGCCCTCATTCTGCCACGTGTCGAACTGTGATTGGCTTACACAAAATATGTAGCCAACAATATTATTACAAATTTAAGGAGGGTACTATTACAATTTATAAAGAATATATAAGATATAATTTATATATGTTAGAATATTAATAGAATTATTAAAAATCAGGGTGGCACGGGACCCTTGACCCAACTGTGGCTCTGTCCCAGGTCACAATTAGCACAAGAAGATACATATTACTAATTGGAGAAGTTGAATGTGTGCTCCATTATACTAATTGATACTATACGCTCTTAAACCATAGGATACTCTTAATTGGCTATAGCACACAGTTAGCTATCAAATGTAAACGATAAACATAATTTACTTCTTTAAGTCAATCTCTGTCATAATTGACCTGTTTTGTTCAAACTCAATGAACTAATTTAGTGTTGGTGAGATGTTCAATCCATTAGTCAATTTCTTTTTTAAATAAATAAAATAATGATTTAGAGGAGGGATATTTGGATTTGGTGGTTTGTGCTACAGACTTAACACGTTGAATTCAGACATATTTTAAGAAGAAATCCAACACAAGATTTGATTTAGAATCATGATCCTAAATGAAAAAAAGAAAAAAGAAAAAGAAGATATGTTTTCATGAGTCATGGCAAAGTATATTTTTTTAATGTTTTTAGAGGTTACCACGTCAAATCCAAACTAACTTAATAATGCATTATTGCTAATTGTATGTCTAAGTTATTTTTCATTGCTAGTTGAGGGAATAATTATATTGACTTGTATCATATGACCTAATTACAAAAATTGTTGGTTTTAGTAATGATTCATGTTGATGCGTAGTTGCATGATTTTGTTATGTTTAAATTTGAGGTGAATTTGATTATGACGCTTGCTGGTGGTTGATTATGAAACTTTTGGTGTGTGTTTTATTTTTATTTTTATGTTTTTATAATTGGGCGTCCAATCTAGTTTGATCGCATCTCAATTAATTTTAAAGTTTTGAAATTAACGGCTCGATAAACTTCTAGTTATCTCTTCTAGTTATCTCTTGGAGTGACTCGAACTCCAATTGTTTTACTTGGGAGAATTTGTAGTGTTTGGCTGCAAACCGAAGTCACTTCGGTTATGAGACTTTGTGGTATTTTATTATGACTTAAAATGATTTTAATTATGAGATTTTTGTGATGTTTTTAATTATTAACTAATTTGATTTTAGGATAAATTATA